AGCAGAAAAGAAAATCATAGAAAAGAAACGGGTTACAGAAAAGAAAAGTAATTGACGTAAAAATGCATACACCGGATTCTGGACAGAGAGAGAGAGAGTGTGTTATGATTAACTTGTTTTTAAATCGTCTCAGAACGATATAAGACTCTTTCGATGGGGAGAATAAGATTTCTGTGCCCAACTTAAAGTTTATAGAGGCGTTCCTCCTTAGCAGCAGCAACAGTAGTAGTAATATTCGTGGTAGCAGAAGCAGCGGTACTTATATCAACAATTCATGTTAGCGGACGCTTCGTTCCAATCTCTGACCTCACGTTCTCTCCTTCTTGAGTCTCCAAATTGTCTCCCCACTGTCTCTAGCCCAACTTTTGCCCGGGCTAATTCTCTTCTGTCTCCCTCTTCCGTCTGCCTCTTTTTCAGCATAACTACGCGTTTATATAGAAAAACCTGGCTGGTCATAACCGACCCTTGGCCCGACTAATTCGCGCGCGATTATCACGGGTTTCTGGCTGTTTCAACCAAAATCATGTGAATTCTAAAGGTCCTCCTTGCTTACTCAGCTCTATTGCTAGTTTTAATCAATAAAAATTATTTCGTTCGTTTCCATTGTCTGCTGATGACCCAGATTCAATGGGTACAACTTCTCGCCTAGATCAGGTTTCACCATCAGTAAACAAAAATGCTCTGATCTAATTTCCCCGTTCAAATCCATTCCAATTTCACTAAAATATATATATATATATATATATATATATATATATATATATATATATATATATATATACGTGTGGTGTGTTTGGATAGACTCTCTGTCACAAATAACAAAAGTGCAGGGGAGTCGTGGCGTGTTTGGTGTATTATGAGAAAAGTTGTCGCCGACGGATGGCACACAAATCGAAAACTGATCAGACATCGTGGAGAAGAGATAATGTTGAAAGAACCGAAACCCCTAATGATTCTCATTCAAAAACATCGTGTGTGTGTGTGTGTGATTGTGTGTGTGTGTGTGTGTGTGTGTGTGTGTGTGTGTGTGTGTGTGTGTGTGTGTGTGTGATTTGTGTGTGTGATTGTGTGTGTGTGTGTTTTTTGTGTGTGTGATTCTGTGTGTGATTGTGATTGTGTGTGTGATTGTGATTGTGTGTGTGTGTGTGTGTGTGTGTGTGTAAGATTGTAATGATGTTTGCTACAGGATTGTAATCTTTCTTTACTATTTTCTCTTCTGTTTGCGTTGACAAAATAACCTGACTTTTATTTTTCTTTCCCCAGGACAAATGGTAACTGTACATCAAACGTCGATGAAGGTGAGTTTGTCATGCATCCCCTTAAAATAAAAATAAAAAATACGTTTTTTTCTTTTACCCAAAAGAAGTTATTCCAGCTTATTATTTCTGTTTTTCATTACCTTTCCTCGAACACCTTTTTTCCCGGCATTAATCGAGAAGTAATCACTTATCACGATTACCAAGCCAAGTTTCCTGTTGTGATATCCACCGATTTTGAAGTTTTTCACCTACAAAGGAAAAGTTAATCTGACCAATATAAACATGGCTGATTCTATAAAGGCATAATATTAAAAGGCCATTTTTTCTGTGCCAAACCTTCTCAGAAAGTGGCTCTCCACAATTTCCTGTCTTTGGTTTCTTGAAGTACTTTTTAACCATTTACCTCCGCCCTTTGTCCTTTGTTCTGCTATCGCTATCCATTCTACTTCTTATCCTTCTTTATGCGTCATGACCCTTTAGGACGTGGACAATCATGGTCCTCCACAACTTCCAGTCTTTTTTTCTCTTTTGCCGATTTACTATATCACTTTGCCTTTGTTCCTTCATCCAATCGCTTCTACATTTTCTTCATGTGCCATATCCATTTAGGACATGGGCGATCGTGACCCTCCACAACTTCCAGGTATTTTTCTCTAAGGAACTTTTGCCGATTTACTTTATCACTTTGTCCTTGTTCCATCACTTCTACTTTTTCTTTACGAGCCATATACCTTCAGGACGTGGGCTATCGTGGCCCTCCACGACTTTCTGTTTTTGCTGCTCTAAGAGACTTCCCCATTTATCATCCTACTTTTTCATTCTTCGGCCATCTATTCATTGACTTCTTCTTTGGGATTTGTGCGATTATGGAAGTTGTGGAGAGCCATGATCGAAGAAGAAGAAAGTTTTTGTTTGGGAAGTTATTCAGGGAATTGTTGCTGAATTGACATTATTTTTTTTTTTTATTTTTTGTTTTCTTAGTGAAATGGACCAGTTTGATGGGAGATTTTCATTCTATTGACACATGGGCAGTGACCCTTGCCAGAAACGGGGAATTTCTCCAGCCCCTCTTCGGAGACACCACCAGCACCGTGATCATGCTCAACAAATGCGGGCGACTAGAACATCTTAAATATTTGGAACAACTTTCGAAGTTAAAAAGTGTTTGTGTAAGTCACTGTGCTCCTAGCAGTACATCATTTTTCTTTTCTTTTCTTATTTTTAGTTCGTCCTTCAAATGAAATCAATTGCCGCTGATTCATTTCTTCTTTTTGTTTTTAATAAATATACCCAAATAAAAGGCCCAAGAGCCACTTAATATAAAGAATTACAGAATGGTGGAAGTAAAGGCAGGCTATGAGGGGATATGTAAGATAAGGGCTGGGCGGTTTGGAAGCCGGCTATTTCACTCAGTGTGAAAGTTGGCGTTTCACTTGAAAGTACACAAAATGTTATTAGAGAGATACTGAAGAGATTGAGATAGATAGATAGATAGATAGATAGATAGATAGATAGATAGATACTGAAGAGATTTAGATAGATAGATAGATAGATAGATAGATAGATAGATAGATACTGAAGAGATTTAGATAGATAGATAGATAGATAGATAGATAGATAGATAGATAGATAGATTGAATAGATACTGAAAGATAGAGATAGATACTAAAAAGATTGAAATAGATAGATAGATAGATAGATACTGAAAAGATAGAGATAGATACTAAAAAGATTGAAATAGATAGATAGATAGATAGATAGATAGATAGATAGATAGATAGATACTGAAAAGATAGAGATAGATACTAAAAAGATTGAAATAGATAGATAGATAGATAGATAGATAGATAGATAGATAGATAGATAGATACTGAAAAGATAGAGATAGATACTAAAAAGATTGAAATAGATAGATAGATAGATAGATAGATAGATAGATAGATACTGAAAAGTTTGAGATAGATACTAAAAAGATTGAAATAGATAGACAGATAGATAGATAGATAGATAGATAGAAACTGCTCTTTTCGTCTCTCATTCGCTTCTAATTGAACTATTACTAATTCGGTTGGAATGCAACCTTTGCCTCAAGTAATCTTTGACTAAAAAGGGAATTATTAAAGATAACAAGCTCTCCTTCCCCAACAACTCGATGACCTTTTGTTAACTGATGGCCGGAGATTCAGCCGATCCAACAGCCTGACTGCACGTGGTGCTTATTTCTTTTTTCGGTTTCAGTGAAAAAAAAAATAGACGGTCATAAATCATTGCGGAAGATTAGACATGAGGGCAGGGGTGGGGGGAAGCAAATAGAAGAGAGGATGACAGACAGAGATATATAAAGAGAAGGAGAAAAAAAGAAGAGTAGAGAAAGTATGAGAAAGTGGGGAAGGAGAGATGGAATGAAAGAAAGGAAAAAAAGGAAGAGGAAAGGGTAAGGTGAAAGTTAAAGAAAGAAAATCGGGAGTGAAAAGTGAAGAGGTAAGAAAAAGTGAAGAGGTAAGAAAAAGTGAAAGGGGGAGGGAGAGAGGAAGAGGGAGAGGGAGAGGTGGATTGTTAACTGGAAAAATGGAAGGTGAAATAATGGTGTGAGGCACTGATTGAATTTGGACAAAGAAAAGGAGCAACGGGGAAAAGAAAGGAAGAATGAAAGAACGGAGAAAGGGAAAAGGGAGACAATCAATGGAAGAAGAAAGAGAGCAAGAAACACCAAGGAAGAGAGAAGGAAATATGACAGGAATGAAAATAGAAAGAAAGAAACAAATAAAAATTAAAGAAAGAGAAAATAGAGGGAGAGAGAAAGAAAACAAAGAGGGAATGGATGACGTAAAAGTAAAAAAACTGAAAATTAAAAAAAAGAAAGAAAAAAAAAGAAAGAAAGAAAGAAAATAACAAAAAATAGGAGAAAGAAAGAAAACAAAAGTGAAATGCATGAAAAAAAGAAAAAAAGAAAAGAAAGAAAAATAACAAAAATAGGGAGAAAGAAAGAAAACAAAGTGAGAATGCATGAAGTAAAAGAAAGAAAGAAAGAAAGAAAGAAAAAATAACAAAAATAGGGAGAAAGAAAGAAAACAAAGAGAGAATGCCTGAAGTAAAAGAAAGAAAGAAAGAAAGAAAGAAAAAATAACAAAAATAGGGAGAAAGAAAGAAAACAAAGAGAGAATGCCTGAAAGTAAAAAAGAAAGAAAGAAAGAAAGAAAGAAAAAATAAAAAAATAGGAAACAAAACAAAGAGAATGCATGAAGTAAAAAAAAGAAAGAAAGAAAAAGAAAGAAAAATAACAAAAATAAGGAGAAAGAAAACAAAGAGAATGCCTGAATTAAAAAAGAAAAGAAAGAAAGAAAGAAAAGGAAAAAAAAGGGAAGGAAGGAAAAAAGAAAGAAGGAAGGAAGGAAGCAAAGCAAAGAGAGAATGAATTAAGTAAAAGAAAGAAAGAAGACGAAAACAATGAATTAATAAAGTAAAGAAAGAAAGAGAAAATAGAGGGGGGGAAAGAAAACAAAGAGAGAATGGATGAAGTAAAAGAAAAAAAAAACGGGAAGCAGGATGAATTAATAAAAGAAAGAAAGAAAGAAGATGAAAACCGGGGTGAACCAATAAAAGAAAGAAAGAAAAACAAAGAGAGAATAAAGAAAGAAAGTAAAAATAGAGAGAAATAAAGAAAACAAAGAGGGAATGGATGAAGTAAAAGAAAGATCGAAAGAAAAAAAAACGAAAAACAGAGAGAGAATTAATAAAGCAAAGAATGATATAAATAAGGAAAGTATGCGTCCTCCTGCAGGATTCGAACCTGCATCCCCCTTTGGGAACCGTCATTAGATCTGACGTACCTGACCGTTTGACCGGAAGTCCTTCGTGGACAAACGTACAAACACGTCAGGTCCAATGGCAGTTTCCCATAGAGATTGCAGGTTCGAATCCTGTCGGAGGGCGTATATTTTTCTGATAAGATTTTTCTCGAATATTCAGGCCGGTAAATGTAGTTAGATAAAAAAAACATACTTTTTAATTAAGAAAAAACAAAACAGAGCTTATACTCGAATATGAATGCCGATCAATAATAACGGTTAAGCGAAAATAAATTAAAAATAACAATATGTCGGATTTAAATCATTTCCTAAAAATAAAGAAGGAAAGAAAAAAGAAAAGCGAACAGAGCGAATGAATAAAAAAAAGAAAGGAACGTATGAAGAAATGAACGAAAAAAGAAAGAAAGAAAGAAAGAAAGAGAGAGAAAATTTAGAAAAAAACGAAAGAAAGAGAAAAAAAAAACAGTGAGCAAGCGAATAGATAAATTCCAGAAATAACGAGGAAAACAGAGTGATAGTGAAAGAGAGAGTGGATGGAGCGGTTAAATTCAAGAAAGAAAGATGATTGTGGGAAATTGCATCATTTGAAACATTCCACACACAGAAAGCCTGTCGCTTAAAACTGTCTTATCATTTACAAACAGAAGATAAGACGGGAAAATCTAAAATGGTTAAGAGGGAGATATTTCTTTTCAAGGTTTTAGTTGAAAGAAATCAGTAAAAACTTCGTAATGACATTGCGTTCACACAGACGCTGATAGAAGCGTATACACATATACACGCAACGAAACACACGCACACAAAACATAAGTACACACAGCCTCTCCAACATACGCATACAATATATAAAAGTACACACTGATTTCCACTCATCAAATACCGTCAGATAACTTCTAGGAAAGCCTATTTAATGGCTGAAGTAGTTGCATGATTCCTTTCGACAGCAGTGGTTATTTTTCGACCCCAGTTAATATCCAGAATTTCTATAGCTAATTTTCAAATCCCACGTCTTCTAGAGGTTTGACGCAATATAATCTTACTAATTACCCCGTTTCGGTTTTGTGTTAGATTACGCGGCATGTGCCTTTAGGACATAGTCGATCATGGTTCTCCACCACTTCTTGTATTTTTTTACTCGAAGTAATTTCTGCTTCTTTACCACTGTTCTTTGTCTTTTCCTGCCATCCACTCACTGTGACCCAAACTAAGCTTGGCACAACACAATCTTACTTTTCCCATCACTTTGTCAGAGGGAAAACTGTACACCAGCTGAATTATCTGTCTATATTTCTGAGATGAGGTATTATGTACATTATTTACATTATTCAGACTATTGTCCTCATCTTTGTCGCCATATTTATTACAACGTTTCGGCAGTTGTACGCTCCGGCCTTCTGGTGAAAACATGCAATGATAACAGCAAAAATTGCAATATGAGCACTGATAAAAATGGCTGCTGAAGACATTAGGTTTATAACACCCAGAAATTAATCCACAGATGTCCTCAAGGACACATGGCACAGTGGATAAAGGTTAGATCCAGTGACAGAACACAAAGAGTGTGAGTTCAATACCCGGTTAAGGCAGTGGAGAACTTTCAGAGGGAAAATTAACAGGAGATAACTGATAACTGACATCCATTAAACATGGCACGTGGAACTAGAACAGTCTATCCCAGTTTCAGTTATCCGATTGATGGTACAGTGTAACCCGGATATAAGAGACCCGGATATAAGAGAAACCCGGATATAAGAGAGATTTTCTTTGGTCCCAAATTAGAGCCTGTGTTAATGTATATAAAATAGACCAAACCCAGATATAAGAGACTTCTTCTCCGGTCCCGACAACTCTCTTATATCCGGGTTACACTGTATATATATATTTCTGAGATGAGGTATTATGTACATTATTTACATTTTTCGGACTATTGTCCTCATCTTTGTCGCCATATTTGTCACAACGTTTCGGCCGTTGTACGCTCCGGCCTTCGTCAGGTGGTCGGAATTTACTTCGATCACTGTATCTCTTATCTAAGTTACTACACTTGATGGTATCTCTTATACAAGTTATCTGAATTGATGGTACCTCTGTCTATATTTCTGAGATAGAGGTATTATTTACATTATTGGGACTATTGTCATCATCTTTGTCGCCATATTTATTACAACGTTTCGGCCGTTGTACGCCCCGGCTACCCCAGTGAGCGAAATAAAGGGTTCAGTTGGACATTCTAACCACTTGAAGAAGGCCGTAATAAATATGGCGACAAAGATGAGGACAATAGTCCGAATAATGTAAGTCACAGTTAAACGACCTGATGGTATCATTTATCCAAGTGACTCGACTTGATGGCATCTCTTATCACAATAGTCTGAATAATGGAAATAATGTAGAAAGTAACATTTAATAAAAAGTTTTTTTTTGGGGGGGGC